TTACTGATGAAGAAAATCCAAGCACTTTTACTGTCCTAAAACGTGATGACAGACACAAAAAAAAATAAAAAATAAAAAAAAATAAAAAAACACACATCATTGTAAAATCAATACATTCATCGTTTCACTCAGAATCTAAAACCTAGTTATTTTGTTGTGATTATATAATATTATTCGTGGGTACCTACTTGAAACTTCTAAAGTACACTATATTATAGGCTGTAATACGATTGAGAACGTTCGACCTTTTTTAGCGTACGATTGAGATCACTCGAAATGGAACAATTAAATAACCGCTGACCCAATAAAACAGTAATATTGAGAACGAAATTAAGTGCAACGTTGCCGAACTATATTCAAGTCAAAATAAAAATAAAATAAAACATTGAATAAAATAATTAAAAATTATAAATTTTAAAAATGTCATAATTTTTAAAAAAATCTGTATTATTGGTACCTACCAATAATACAAACATTTAAAAATAATTTACAATTTAATTCCCCTATATAAATTTCCCAGATGTGTTAAATATTTTATTAATCCTTCAGAAGATTTTTTTGAAATTTTTTCTTCATCTGCTTTTGAAGCCTTTTGAACAGTACCCTGTTGAATACTGAATAGTATTGAGTTTTAAAGACGTTTATTCCTGCCACATAAACAGTGTGTGAGCAGTGCTAAGAGTAATATATATATTTATATAGGCTATAGCCATAACCGATTTTTATATGGCAAAGTTTGGCAACGTTGCGTGGAAAAATAAAAACTGAGCGTTCTCAATCGTAATAGTCAAAAGGGTCTAAAAAAGGTATAATGACTGTTCTCAATCGTATTCCTGCCATATTATATATCTATGATAGTATAAGGGTTTGTTATTGATGTATAACGTGTTATAATAGTACCTAATGGATATTGTGATATGATTAATTTGGAATTTATTTTAGGTCAATTTTTTTTTAATACCATAGATATGTATATAATTTGTCTTAAACCTAGACTAACATACCGTCTTCGCTCAGAATCGTTTTTCTTATACAATGATATTGTATCATTGAATTCAAATTTAAAAGCATCCATTATACAGTGACCCACTTGTAACCTACTGTACAGCAGAGCGACATCCACTTACCCACCTTTTTATTATTTATTATAGCCTGTAAGTTGAATTATTATCATTATAATATTATTGTATCATTGTATCATTTAATATCATTGTAATATTATTATTAGATTCTGAGCGGAGCGAGGAAGCCGGTGGTTTTGCATTGATGTTTATTTTTTTTTTTATTCTGTATACAACATATTCTACCAGAAGGAGTGCTTCGATTTAAACATAATATAGTATCTTATCTTTTAGAAAATTGGATCAAGATTGTACTTTAGAGTCGTAATTTTTCGACTTTCTCAATAGTTATTTAATGAAACAGGAAAAACCACCGATAAATTACGAAAAACCGCTACAAACGGGGTTTTAACTTCTAATGCTTTGCTTATCACCATGGAAACGAATAAAAAAAAAAATAAAAAAGTGGGTAAGTGGATGTCACTCTGCTGTACAGTAGGTTACAAGTGGATCAATGTATAAAGGATTGTAATTTGTATTAAACTTGAATTCAATGATATAATATTATTGTATAGGAAAAAAGATTCTGAGCGAAGACGGTTTGTAAGTTTGGATATTGTTATTATTAATTATTATATCCTGTAAGTTGAATTTATATTATAATAGGTATTATTAATTTTTATTCTTTTCTATGGTGATAAACAAAGCGTTAGAAATTAAAATACCATTTTTAGCGGTTTTTCATAATTTGTCGGTGGTTTTTCCTGTGGCATTAAATAACTATTGAGAAAATCGAAATATTACGTTTATAAAGTACCATCTTGACCCAATTTGCTAAAAGATAAGGTACTATATGTTGATTCCAAAAGCACTCCTTCTGGTAGATATTTTGTATACAGGATATAAAAAAAAAATAAAGTAAACACCATTGTAAAACCAGTAACCACTATAGCTTCCTCGCTGCGCTCAGAATCTAATAACTATTTTAGTTATTTTGTTGTAATTTATAATATTAGTTCAATTGACCAGGTATAATTAATAATAATATTGTAAAATATAAAGACTGACATACCGTCTCCGCTCAGAATCGTTTTTCTTATACAATGATATTATATCGTTGAATTCAAATTTAATATCATCCATTATACAGTGACCCACTTGTAACCTACTGTACAGCAGAGCGACACCCACTTGCCCACCTTTTTTTTTTTTAAATAGTTCTACAAGTAAAATTTACATTTATTTTAAATTATAGTAATAAAATATTCATATTATTTATAAAATCACAACTGAAATAGTAATAATATAGTAAAATATTTAGGGCCGCTAAGCTGTATTTCCCCCTGGGCCGACAATCTCCCAGTCCGCCACTGATTGCTGTTCCAAATGACTTTACTTAATTTCTCCAAAATTCAAATTGATATACGAAATTGGACTACTAGAAGTATGTTTATTTTTCGCCAGCTCACATAAGTCTAAACTAAACTCTAAATGCATGAACGGTCCGTGATTACAATCGTAATTAATATGATACTATAAGCGACGGAATGGTTTCGCACACGTTGTCGCTATGGCTGTCTGAGCCCGACTATATATTTATTTTACAAACTAAAACAAAAGTTAAACTATTTAACAAATTCGTGTTATACCTATATACATAGAATTCGACAAAAATCAAAGTCAAAGGTTTCGAGATAAACTACATTAGAGTTGGAAACGGACCGCAGAAATTGTTGATGTTTCCCGGAGTACTAGGTACGTCTATACAATAATATAATATTTATCTCGGTCCAATTCTCAATGGTTATATACCCATGTAGTTTGCCGATATTGAATTTTTCCACTGTAATAATATTATTACAATGCATTTACTTCTCTATATAAGGTCAAACAAGTGATTTTAGTCCGCTGACGGAAAACCTCGACGGAGAAAAATATACGATATACGTGTGGGAGCCTCCTGGTTACGGTTTTAGTCGACCACCTGGCAGAGACCTGTCGCCGGGATTCTTGTACCGAGACGCCGATTGCGCCATTGCACTTATGGAGGTAAAGTATATATTACTCACTACAACTCGGGTAGACTGCACGACGACCGCCAATATGCAAAGGTGGGCATTAACTTGTTAAAAAATTTAATTATTTTTGTTTTTAACTTATTAACTTATTCAGTTGAAATTTGTATTGTTGTAACTAAGATTTTGATCTGAAATGGTCAAATCATATACAGTGTTAAAAATAAAATGAGAAGTTTAACTACTCTATATTACAAAATTTGTTTTCTAAACAAAATAGTAATAAGACAGGTATATATGGCATTTTGTAAGTAACTCAATTTTTTTATATGGTATAACATGCTGTGGAGGCACAAATAGAACAGACACAAATAGAGTACATAAAATTATTACCCACAAAAATATAATAAAAGTAGCAGTGGCGGGCTCAGCTTTTTCCAAGGGGGGGGGGGGAATGAACAGATACAAACACTACATTTTTTTTTGAGTAAACCGAAATTATCGAAGAACTATAAATTACGCATAAAAAAAAGTTCATGGATCCTCATCACCCCCCGCGAGCACGCCCCTGAAAAGTACTCTCTTCCGTCGTACACTCGTACCCATCAGTCGAGTTATTTAGCCACACAAACATACAATTAGTAAAATACTTAATGACCTTGATGAGAATATGACGTGTATCAATCAAATTATAAAAATTCAATATGTATAAATATAGATGATTAAAGAAACATTGGTGTTAATATTATACCATTTAGAAAATTTAGTGAACTTTTTAACTGTATAATAATTTTATATATTACCTACTACAATATATTGTATTTATCTATAGGAACTCCGTATACCAGATACGAGCTTAGCTCAGTTGGTATACGTTTAGCTCTTAAAATTATTATAGTTATTATTGTATTATAATTGAATAACGCTGAAATAAATAAATAGTTAATTATCAATGATGTTGGGGATTATCTAGATAAAATTATTTCTTTAATTATCTTATATTATCTAGATAAATGTATAAGTAATGGTTATCTGTGGTAATTTATCTAGATAAATAATATAATAATAAGAATATTTTTAAATACTAAAATAGCCAATAATTTACGAGAACCGAAGAGTGATTCCAAATTCCAATATTATTATAGTTAAAAAAAGAAATGTTTAATGAAAAATTGTCAGTTTTATTTTTATTCAAGTTGTATTAAAAATTAAAATTTTATTTTATTTTAGTTGAGAAATGATATTAAGGATTTATTAATTAATAAATATCAACTAATTATTAATTACTAATAAATTACATTAAATTGTTAATAATTTTAATTACATTTAAATTATCTATTTTTTATCTAGATAAATGTATGTGTATTTTAATCTTTATCTAGATAAATGTTGAATGAATTATCTGTGTCTTATCCAGATGATTTTTTGGTTATCTTTTCCCAGCACTAATTATCATTGTCGTGCATTTAAGTTAATTTTCTTTTCATGCCAATAACTAGACAGTACCTACTAATTTGTTGACTCTTTTTCGATTTTAGTAATTTATTTTCGAATTATAATATATTATAATAATTTAACTTTTTACACAGTGTTAAATATCTTGGTAAATGTGTGTGTATAACAAAATTCTAGGGCAGTTTATGGCTTATAATGGTAAATATTATAACTTGAAAAAATATTAACTTTTTTTTAACCGAGTTGAGTTAATTTTATTTTTTATCTTAACTTTAAACTTATCTAGTTAAATATTTTTGGTTGTTAACTTAACTGAAGACAAGCCACAGTTAATATTGTTTTCATTAACTTGCCCACCTTTGCCAATATGATGTAGTACGACAATATAGTAGGTATACCTATAACGCGGACTGACCGTTGTTTTCTCCGATTCTGCTGTTGGCCGTTGCTGCAGACGTTAGACATCAACATGTATTCGATGTTGGGCTGGTGCAACGGCGGATGCACCGCGATGATCGCGGCGTCCAGGGCCGCAGATCGGGTCGACATGGTGGTGTGCAGCTGCAACGCTTACGTCACGGCCAGAGACCTCGAATTCTACGAGACGACACGCGACGTCCACGGCTGGCCCGACGCGAGACATTTGCAATTCGAAATGTACGGCGAGCAGTACGTGTCGGCAGGCACGTAGCCAGAAAATTTCTACTAGGGGGGCCAATAATGTTTGGCCCTTTTATTACTTTCCATAATTTTTCTTTATGAAATTCTTGTAAGGGGTATGCAATACAAAGAATCTTATTAATTTAAATAATTTACCTTTAGTTGGTAATTGGTTAAAATTATATTTTTCACAACAAGTTATACCTAATGGCTAATACTTACTTATTTAAGAATTACAAAAATAGAAAGTACCTGATAACAAAAAAAAAAAAATAAATATAGAATTACCTACATCTTCACTTATGGGATACATTTTTCATGCTATGAAAAATAAATCTACATACATATTTAAAATAATAAGCTGCTTCAATTGTTTAACTTCAAAAATTAATTCATATTTGAATACTTATCAAAAATAATAGAGATAAATGATCATCGATGATTTTTAAATTAATATAATTTTTAAAGAAACTCAAATTTATTAAAAAAAAAAAAAAAAACACATACTATAGTAGAATATATTAATAATACACTTATACTTATATAAATATTAAACAGTGCAATATAAAATAATTTTTCTGTTTTTATGATTTTCCGAAAACAATTGTACAAAAATATCTAGATCTAAGTTTTTAGAATTTTTTTTTCTATGCTCATTGAAGCTAAATTATTTAAACGATAATTTGTCATGCGATTCCTCAGAAAGGTTTTCAGTCGTCTCAGACATGAAAAAGTTCTTTCGCAAGCTAACTTAGCATAGACTTATAACTGCGGCTAATATATTATTGTTTTTAAAAAGGGTATCAAGACCCTATTATATTGTATTTTTTTCAGATAAAGTTATCCACGGTTCCCCGAATATAAAAATTAAATTATTACAATAATAATTGTATTACCTAATAGTAATCACTAATCACAATAAATTTCTCTCAATGTGCATAATCACATTTTTGATAATTGGTAAAAATAATTATATTTTGAATTAGGGGGGGGCGGCCCTGGGCCAGAGTATATGTAGGGTGGGTCCGGCCCACCCAAGCCCCCCCCCTGGCTACGTGCCTGCGTGTCGGACACTTGGTCCCGGTGGATAGACGCGTTCCGGAAAATTCTAGACGATCAAGACGGTGACGTGTGCCGCGGCACGCTTGCCAAGATAAACGCTCCCACGCTCATCCTGCACGGTGCAAAGGACGTGTTCGTACCGGTCGAGCACGGTGTATATCTGCACGAAAACATCAAGAGCTCGAAGTGAGTGTATACTGTATGTTATATACGTCATAATACTATCGTGTAACACAGGCGTAGAATGGGGGGAGGGGTGTCTCCCATGTATTTCCCCCCCTCTCCCCGACCCACCATTCAGTAATTTTTTTTCAATTACATTTTTGGAATATAGGTACCTATAATAGATGTGTACTAGAAAATATATAATACAGTAGTCACTGGACAATTCGAAAAACTCCATAAATCGAACTAAACGCTGAATCCCCTGAGAAAACCTCTATAATTAGAAAAAAATACATGTATTCCGGTCCCATCGATAATTCGAAATGTCTGCCCGTGGAACACACTTTACAGTTAGAATTCCACGAACCTCTATAATTCGAATTTCCTTAAACGCTAATTCGAACACTAGGTATATCGAAAACCTCTATAAATCGAATATTTAACTCGGTGCCCTGAATTTCTAATTATCGAGTGACTACTGTTGAGGCTATAGCCCCCTTATATACAGGGATTAAAATGTTACCCTGTGGAAAATTGCCGCAATAAATATCTAAAATAATATTATAATAACATAATTTACTGCACTAACTGAATTATCATTTAATTAACAGCTACTATAAAATATAATATATTAATTAGGTAAGTAATAACTACTAATAAGTATGCAAAACAAATTTTATTTACATATTAAATACTAACAATTTGAAGGTGTAGGTAGTGCCAATAGTGCCTACAGCATATTATAAATACGCCACTGCTTATATATAAATATTATAAATTCATCACGCTACGCCTATGATCATATTGTGACATAGGGACGGCGTGAGGGTAAGTCGACTGGGGCGGTAGCCTATAGCACCATGTTCAGGGGGGGAGCCGAAATTGCTTTTTACAATTTTGCACATTTTTGTCAGTAGTATTATTTTAGATTCTGAGTGGAACGATGAATGTATTGATTTTACAATGATGTGTTTTTTAATTTTTTAATTTTTGTGTCTGTGTTCAACTTCAGTATCTTGTTCGATTGGAAAGTAAATATCGTTGGTGCATTTGGGAGGTCAAATTTTAAAATTCTCAATAGTTTTCACAAGCGCCAAGAAAAACAATAGAAAAATTAAGGTAAATCGGGAATTTTTACGCAAAATCGATTTTTCACACAATTGAATTTGGTCTTCGGTGTAACTTTAAAACAAATTACCGTAGATAGGTACATGAAATTTTCACTGGTTGTTTATGTTTGCATTTTCTATACACGATAACATTTTCAAAATATTTTGATTTATTTTGAACTGTTTAGGGACATTTTTATTTTCCATTTTTTTTTTTGTTTTTTTTTCTAAAAATATCAAGAAAATTTTATTTGTTGGTTAAAAAACTTGAAAATTTAATAGAAGGCTCCTAGTACATTGTTTCAAAGGCAGATGAAAAATATTAAAAATCCTTAGTCATAGTTTTTTTTTTATAAGCGTAATTTTTTCTTTTTAAATCTAAGATTTGAAAAGTAATACAAGATTACAAATAAGTTTGTCTACCTTATCAATAAAAAATCTCTACCGGAAAGTCAAATTAAATTTTTATGAGTGTTTAAAGTTCATAATTTTACAATATTGGATATTCACTCGATTTCTCATGTAGTGATTTCTTTATTTTGTTGTAATTCAAAAACGAATAACTGTAGATACATGAAAATTTCACTGAATATTTATATTATCATTTCCTATACACCAGACAATTTCGAAAAAATTTTGACTCTTTTTGAACTGTTTACGGACATTTTCTGTTTTAAATTTTTTTACTTTTTTTTTTTATGAATATCAATGAAGTTTTATCTGTTGGATCAAAAAGTATAAAATTTTAATACAATGCTCCTGATATATTGTTACAATAGCAGTTGAAAAATATTAAAAATACACAAGCACAGTTTATTTTTATAGTCATTTTAAGTTCATTTTTGGACGAAATTACATATTAAAAATCCTAGAATAATTATTTTAATTATTATGTTGTGATTGTATAATATTATTAGTGGGTATCTATTTGAAACTTCTAAAGTGTACTATTATGTATCTACGATAGTATCACGGTTTTTTGTTGATGTATAACGCATTATAAGTACCTAATGGATATTGTGATAGGTATGATCATAGGCGCACATAGGGGGGTGCTTGGGGGTTTTTTCTATTTTTCATTTCTTTACAAATATTGACAACTGTTTACGAATTCACGAATTCATTTTTTTTTTTTTTTGTCTGTCATCATCTTTTAGGACAGTAAAAGTGCTTGGATTTTCTTCAACAGTATCTTTTCTGAAAGTGAATCTAGTTGGTACTTGGGGGGTCAAAAGCAAAAATTTTACAGTAGTTTTTAATAGCTCCGTGAAAAACAAAAGAAAAATTAAGGAAAAACGGGAATTTTTACGCAAAATCTGTTTTCGAGAAAATTGATTTTGGTTTTTGGTGTAACTTTAAAACAAATGACCGTAGATATATGAAATTTTCACTGGACACTGGTTATTTATATTTCCATTTTCTATACATGATAAAATTTTCTAAATATTTTGAGTTATTTTGAGCTTTTTACGGACATTTTTAGTTTCCATTTTTTTTAGTTTTTTTTTCTATAAGTAGGTATCAATAAAATTTTATTTGTTGGGTATAAAAGCTTAAACATTTAATAGAAGGCTCCTAATATATTATTTCAAAGACAGATGAAAAATATTAAAAATCCTTAGTCACCGTTTTTTGTTATAAGCATTTAAATTCCAAATATTGACAAAATACGTGAAAATGACGAAAATTTGCAAATTATTTCGAGTTAGAAATTCATAAAAATTTTTCTTTTTAAATCTAAGATATGAAAATGTAATGCAAGATTCCTCATTAGTTTGTCTACCTTTATCAAAAAAAAAATGTCTACAAGAATCTCAAATTAAATTTTTATGAACGTTTGAAATTCATATTTTTACAACATTTGATATTCACTCGATTTCTCATGTAATGATTTTCTAATTTTGTTGTAATTAAAAAACGAATTACTGTAGATACTTGAAAATTTTACTAAATTTTTATATTCGCATTTCCTAAACACCATATAGTTTTGAAAATATTTTGATTCTTTTTGAGCTATTTACGGACATTTTCAGTTTTCAATTTTTTTAATTTTTTTTTCTATTCATATCAATAAAATTTTATTTGTATGGTAAAAAAGCTAGAACATTTAATGCAAAGCTCCTGATATATTGTTACAATAACACTTGAAAAATATTAAAAATAAATAGGCACAATTTTTTTTTATAATTATTTAAAATTCAAATTTTGACAAAATGTATCACATCTAATAATAATTTTTTAGTTAAATATTTATAACTTTAGAAATTATTGTATACACTATACAAATTAAATCTAATGCAATGCAGAAATATTAGGATTAGGGGGGGGGGGTGGGGGGCAAAGCCCCTCACGGATATGTGAACCATAAATTATCCCAGCACCCCCTCTAAATTCACACCCAATGTGCGCCTATGGGTATGATTAATTTGAAATTTATTATAGGCACCTATTATAGGCCAATTTTTTTTATAATACCATGTATATGTACCTATATAATGTCTTATACCTAGACTGACATACCATCTCCGCTCAGAATCGTTTGTCTCATACAATGATATTATATCATTGAATTCAAATTTAATACCATCCATTACACAGTGGTCAGTGACCATCTTGTAACCTACAGTACAGCAGAGCACCTTTGTTTTTTTTTTTTTAAATCCCTACCTATAACTGAATTATTGATAATTATTATGGTTACCTATTTTGTTTAGCCATAGTATATTAAAATATTATAAGTAGGTATATTTTAAATACTCTTACTAGGTATGTTATAACATAGGTACTTGTGATCTACTATAGCTAATGAAGGTTTGGTCTCATTGTCGATTTTATCTATAGAAAATGAAATAGCTGCAGAAATTGATTTTCCTACAGTTATACAGAGTTTTTCAGACAGAAAATCGAGATAAGTGTTAATTTACAACCATTTTTTCATTATTTATTTGTATTATTAGTACATACTACATATATATTATAGGTATTTTGTATTTATATGTTCCTATTTTGTTTTTGTTTTTTTTTTTAAATTAGAAGATAACAAATTATTTACAAGTTAAGCGTAATACCTAGGTATATAATTTTTCCGTATTTCTGCAGTCCATGAACAACATTTTTTTCTAAGTATTCTGATATTATGAGTTGTATGAAAAAGGCATTTTGGCCTGGGGCGTCCATTTAGCCTTGCGCTGGCCCTGAATTGTGACGTAATATTATATCATTAAGCGTACCTATTGTTTAATTCTTTATTTTAAAAGATTCTGATGTTTCGTTGAACGTCCCAAAAGAAATTAAAACAAGTAGTCCCTGTGGCAGTGCTATATATGTGCTATATTTATACCACTAGCTATACAGGGTGTCCCGTGAGGATTTACTCATTGCGATATCTCCTGAAATAATAGAGATATCCTAATTCTGTTTTCTTATTAAGACTCACAGAGGTAAGCACTACAAATAACTAATTTTTATTTTTTTTTATGTTTTGGTAAAAAAGTTAAAAAATTATTTTTTTAATTAATTATTTAAAAAAATATTGAAGATTGCCATTTTGTAGAGTTCATTTTTCTGAAAATATTGACGTTTCAACATTTTAATTTCATTAATTTCCTGATTTTTAATAATTTTTTTAATTAATAAGTAAAACGGCAAAAAACCGGTTTTTGTCCGGGCGACGAGTCCCCCTCTACGGCTAATAGGTAAATCCTCAAGGGACACCCTGTATATGACTAACTTAATGAGTTGTGAATATATTATATTATAGTGAAGGCAGTAAATTCGTAACTTGTTAGGAAAAAAAATACAGCACTATTAATCGTATGATATGTATTTTTAACAAATGTGTACATTAATCTCAAATATTATGATTGATAATTAATTATTTTTTCAACTATGAATTATGACTGTTTTGACTTATGAGTATCAGTACCTACTTATAAATATAGTTGTGTAAGTAAAAAAAAATTAATGCACACGATAACTTTAAAAAAATTCAAAAATTAGGATGATCTAGATTTATCATTGATAAACCAAAAAGTCAAAATAAGAGTTGGAACGTAAGGATTATGATGATGTCAGCGCACTATTTGTTTTCTCTCTCTGGCCCACGCGCAACATAGACAAAATGCATTTAAATCACTGTTTATATGTTTTTATGTAATCTTAGAGTAAAGTCACCGATTACAAAAATATAGAAAATAATATTTTTGAGGGAATGTCATATCGATTTGTCTAAATACTGTCTCAAAACAATTCAAACACATTTAAATGACGTACCTACAACATTGTTTTGTTTATTTTAAAAGTCGAATACAATGTCAAATGACAATAAAATATAAAATCGATGTCATTCCCTCAAAAATATTATTTACTATATTTTTTGTAAATGTGATTTTACTCTAAGATTACTTAAAAGTTAAAACAGATAAAATGATTCTGCGTTAATGTGTTTTGTCCATGTTGAGCGTGGGCCAGAGAGAGAAAATCAACAGTGCGCTGACATCCTCTTAATACTTATTAGTTATTACTTATTACCCTAGTTTATATCCTAAACCCAACAATGTTTCCTATTTCAAATACAATCTTGAGTCCTGACCAAGGCAATATTATTAATAAACGTTGTTTGTAGTTTGTACCTATATTAACACAACAACAATACTCTGTTCATAGATTTTGTTTTTTTTTGTTTTACAGACTTGAAATATTTCCTGGTGCCAAGCATTTCTTACAATTTTTGTGCTCTGAAAAGTTTGTTTCGATAGTGGATTACTTCCTTACAACCAATTAGTAGTACATAGGTAAACATAATCACTTTCCATATAATATATAAAAGTTATAGATATAATGAATAACTTAATATTACAAGAAGGTATTAAGTGTCGACACCTAAACGTGTGAGGCTTACACATAAATAATGTCATAACTTAATATAATTATTATACAAGTTTACTGTGAAATGACTTTAACTAATATGAAAAACTAAACAGATTTGTTAAGCCCAATAAAACAATAATAAAAAACCAAGATTAATTGATAAATAACATTTTATTTTCATTTGGAATATGTATAAGTTGTATTTTTAATTTATAGATCACAAAATAAATACGGCATCCTATACATTAAATGTATGCGATAAATAATTTATACATATATATTATATAAATGTGTTTGGTTTCAAAGCATTAGTAAACTGTTGAGATTTTTTCAAAATTTAATTAATATTGCTTGAATTACATTTAATGAGGTCTAAGTAAACAATTAAAGATAGTTTAAACTTGATCGCACGTTTAGAAAAACATTAAATGTATACATATTATAAATGATTATACTTCTTAAAAACTCAATAATTTGAATAAATTGTAAAAATTTATAAATGTTTTTTTTGTTAAATATATTCCATAATATTTATATTTTATTAATAATATAGTTAACCTCATGTTTTTTATCACAGAAATAAAATAAAATTGTGATTTATTTTTATCAATTATAAATGGATTCATAACAATTAACAATTCTAGTAGGTAACTTAAATAATAATAATAAAAAATGTATAATACTATGTCTTTTACTCATAGAACACTGTGATATTTGAGTTCAAATATGTTTTAAAAGAATAGCAAACTTGTTGGAGTGTAAAGTGCAACTCCAAATCCAAAAATGTGACAAGTGTAACCACACAATGTGATGTAAAAACATGTTAGAACTTTTAGTTAAAAAATAAAAACCGTGAAATGTTAACTATGTTCAATGAACATAAAAAGGTTGTTTCGATTCTACTAAACACCGCCATTGTATGCATATTCAGCTTTGTTGTGCATTATGAGTCGATCTTCAACAAAATAGAAACTGTCAGATTTGGTTTCAAATGGATTTTGGATCATTTCCTTAACTGCAAATTCAAAAGGTAAAATATTACTTAAAATTTCAGGATTGAATATTTATTAATACACATACTCGATTCAGGATCCAACTTAGGAAATTTGTATATGTGTTCACATGTATTTTTGCTGTGTGGTATGCAAAAGCCAAATTCAAAGTCAAATGTCTTTAATAATTTGTTACGGAAATAATGACGTTCAATCATGCGAAACTTATTAACTGGCTTATTTCCCACAGTAAACTCCACACTATAAATAAGATGAAAATTTAAAAATTAATACAATTTACGACATAGTTATTTATTTTAGAAAATTTAATTTATATACTCTAACTGAAAGATGAACAATAGAATAAAATGAAGCAACAAAATATTTATTACAATTCTTACGTTGCTCCAACCAATTTCAGTTTAAGAAACTTGGGTGTAAATTGATAGCGTACAAATCGGCCGCTATTTAGATCTGTCTCTTCTACTTTTCCTTCAGTTTGATTGTCATCTAAACAATATTACACATGAAACATATTAATAATATTAAATCAGTATACATATTATAATATATTGAATCGATACAATCATTTATCATACCAAGTATTACAGAAGGCTTGGCAATTTCAAACAAAACCATGCCGGTATCTAGATCACGTATTTTAAAACGTATAAAATCTATATTATATATATTTGCATCTGGAGCACATAAATACCCTGTAACAAAAAGATTATATAAATAATTAATGAACTTAAAGGAAACTAAATATTAATATACTTATACATTACCTTCTGTAATTTTAGACAGAGTCAATACATCTTCTGGCGAAATTGTATTTTTCTTACGTACAATTTGTTCAGCAGTCTCTTCTGCTACAGAGAACAAAAAAATTAGTTTATAAATAAGTACTAATTAGGTAGATACATAATTACTTAAATAATATATATTTGTATTTCTTTGATCAAAAAAAAAAAGAAAACAATATTAATTTTTTAATGTACTTAAAATGAATGTACAAATTTTTATCAATAAAATTGTTGATATAAAAAAATTATAATTTTATTAAAACTCTTAAAAATTGAACAAAACAAACTACCAGAAAATTATACTAACAAATTAATTTAAGCAATATGTCATAATGAAACATAAAAATCACCAAAAAACGTGTAAATATTGGCATTGGATTAACATGAGTATTATTTTAATTGGTCAGTAAACAAAGTAGAACATTTTCTTAAGTGTGTGTTTGAAATCCGTTAGGTAACACTATGGATTAACACTATGGAGTATAACTGGGCAGTGATAACAAATTTAAAAATTTTACCAAGAAGCCTAAGACACTAGATAGTAGATACTGTTCAACTACCTATTTCAAGAAAATTGTCAGATGATTATTGTTTTGTTACTAGTTCAACTGATTATAGTAATTAAGTATAACTAAGGTATAAACAACGATGTAGAGTACTCACAATCTGTGTCAGAGGCAGCGGAGGTAGCAGCATTAGTCCTGTTACTGGCCATCTTTGAACTCGTCCCAACAGATATCATGCTTTATTGATGAACCACTCGCCAACACGCTGTTGTGCATGCGGTCAACGATTCGATTCCATATTATCGCTGTCGACGTCCCAGCAGTTGTAGTTTAGTGGACGACAGAAAATGGAAAAAAAGAAGAAAAATAACGTAGGTATATAAACCTAACTTGGGTCGTGTTTGGCGAACAACAATGACAGGTCTACTCGAGGTGCAGTTCGGAGTCCAGAATAATGGCACAACCCACTAACCCAGACGGCTTATTTCGCACTTGTCATTGTCTCGGAGTGACACGGGTATTTTATGTGAGCAAATGGAATAATAAAAAAAATAAAACGTAGGGGGAAAAACGCGACCGGGGTAATATAATAATAGGGGTCAACGATCTAGAAAAAAAAACACATTAACCCCACGGCACGACTACCCACGCAAAACACCACCAGCCGTACAGCCCGCCGCGGCCGAAAGTCGCTCGATCGCGCGCGCGCCCTTAATCGTTATCTGTTATCACGTCTTATCATTCCGCCGATGATTGATCGTCAGTGGTCGGAAACGCGCTCTAGTCGACGCCCGACGGACCCACATCCGCGCTTGTGACAACGGCGCGATCGGGGACAAAATTATAGGATGTTAAATTATAGGTCAACATACTCAATAATTGTTATTATAGGTCAGTGCGGTACTGAGGTCAGTAGGTCAACGATACTGCGGACTGTCTGTCTACGACCGTAAATGTGATAATATAATGGTAGTCTACTGATCTCATTCCAGCGCCTATATCACACCACACGTTTCTGATTTCCATCGACGGTTGAGACGTAGTTTTTAATCATTTTCTGTATCTAGTTTTAGATGATGGGAAGTTTTAAAGTTTTAGTGGAGAGAGTATAAACTATTGTAATTGTAAAATATTATATGGATCACGGTGAAAATGTATAATATAACATTAACAATGAAGTCAAACACGTAGTGAGGCTCGTTATACTGCCATATCAGGTATCGAATACTTCAGTACCTATATGTCTATAAATACCTATCTATAATAATTAATAGTATATAGTAAATATGGCATATATACGATATATACCTATAGTATAATAGTAGATATTATACGCTATAGCCTATTGGTCTATACTACATAATATTATATACGTTGTTTTGATTTTATATATTAATAATTTAATAAAATAATTTAATGATATGGATACCTAAATAGTGAATACCTTATACCTTATTTACTTTTAACACCCTAAAAGGTTAATTAGTCAGTATACAATCAAGTTCTAGAGAATATAGAATAGTTGGAGCCACCAATGCGTCTTACAAACAAACAGTTGAGGTTATATATAGTAAATAGCTTAATTTAAGTTTTATTACACAATTGTTTTCAATTTAATAATTTAATCGATGAAAAAAAATCAAAATTTGGCACAGTATAGGTAATACAACTAAAATGAGGAACTCCGGAGAGTCCAGACTGCCTGTATATAATATAATATAAATATTATATGATGTGTATACATTAGTTATATGCCTACGAGCATATACTTTTCTAAATTATCCTTTACAGCGCTTTTGGCAAATAAAACTATAGGTTAGGTACCAACAGCTGTACCTGTCATTAATTTTGATCGACGATTACTATTTTATTGACTGTTCGTATAGAGTTCTTTTTAAAGAAAAATATAATAAGTAATAACTGAGGAAATCGTATACGTATATAATATAATGAATAATGACGACGCGTATATATAAATCGTCTGTATTCCAAAATACGTACCTACCGTTAAGTTCGATAAAATCGTGCCTTTGAATTAATGGTACCTCCTACCTGCGTAATCTAAGAGTGCCTATGCTACTTAAAATTTTAATTTTTACATTTCATTCGAGCGTACATACCATTCAAAATAGTTTTAACAATGCACAACATTTGAGGAGGATATAATAATAATATATAATTTATAAGCCTATAACGGCTATAACCAGGGGCGGATTGGACCACCGGGAATTCGGGAGTTTTCCCGTTAGGCCACTTTTTCAAATAACTATGTATATTATAAAATTAAAATTCTTAAATGCCTTTTAAGTACGCATTTTTTTTCCGATTTTTCAAAATACGATAATACGAATTGGATTGTGGACAGTATGCAACAGTATATCAGGTAGGTAATCTACCTACGGTGGATTGCAGACTACACAACGATGAGTGACAGAAAGCAAAAATATAGTATTATTCGAAAAGCAAAAACAGCATAAGTAATATATAGCATTTTTTTAGAAAATAAAAAGATACACATAGATTTTGCGTGTTGATTCTGTTAATTTACCTATATCAGGTATATTGAGTATTTGAGTGGAAGTAAATTATAAGCTTTTATTTAAGTATAAAAGCGCATTATTAAATATTATTGAATAGGTAATAACCTTTCTTATTAAACACAAAAATCGTAACATTAGTAGTTTAAATTATTCACTTTTACTGTGTTATATAGGTACATATAAGTACTTATAAGTACTTTTATAAATGTGTAAACATAAACTGTTTAAAAATAAAAATAAATTTGATATCGATGTATATATACTACGAATAAAGTTTTATATAAATTAAATATCTCGCCAAATGTGTTAAAAAAATTGTAGTTATGTTAAAATAGTAATACATAATAATATTATGTTGGCTAAAATTAAATATTTGGTAAATTAGTAAGTGGGTAGGTATTCTTTGTATTTTCCCGGGCCGAAATCTCTCCCCAATCCGCCCCTGGCTATAACATATGTTATAATTTCATTAAACACTCACAAGTCAGTCATTTACAGTCACACTCACCGACTTGTTTAATCGGGACGAATAATCATATTATATTATATAATAATATAGGTATACAGGGTGTAACAGGAAGACTTGACAAAATATATGGAATAGGTACCTTTCATTCTAATTAATATTTTTTATTTATAATTTATTGACTTAGGTATACTTATAGAATAATATTTTTTATTTTTATTTTTTAACACTAAATATAAAAAATCTGATTTAAATTTTTTTTGAAAAATTACAAAACGGCTAATTTGCAAATCTGGTTTTTGGAAAACTTCTAATTGTAAAAAAATGTATCTAAGTTAAGAGGTTTACTTTTTTATGATTTTTTTAAATTTCATTCTTTTGAAAAGCAAAACTCATTAATTTGAAAAGTATTAACATGTTAAAATGTTTTATCATAAAATGTTGGAAAAAAGTATATTATGCGTAACTACTTTTTGAATTTAAATTTTTTCTACGACTGGTTCAACTTTGTCCAACCAAAATACCATTGAGCATTCTGAATTTTTCAAAAAAAATGTATGTCAGATTTAAAAACGTTTATTTTCAGTATTAAAAATAAAAATGTTAAACTATACTCGTGCAGTATAGCACTATTAAGCGTCTGTAAATTATATAAAAATAAAATTATTTATCAGATCAAAAGTAACTTTTGAAATAACTGTTATTTCATTTGTCAGGTCACGACGTATTACGTATACGGTGAAACCTCCCAATATCAGATACCATTTAATATAGTTAACGTTTTATTGGGAACGAACTATAAAACTCTCTACAATCTGAACCCTCTGAATAGCAGACACCTCCGATTAACGGACAACATTTCAGGGACCGAGAACCAAAGACCGGTATTTAGAGGTTTCACTGTAATATATTTTGTATAATTATATGTGTTAAAATTACCAACATATTATTTACTATAATGTCTATAATATAAAATAAATTGTACTCATAGCCCACTAGATATTATATGAAAACATAAAAAGTCTAGAGAAAATAAGTCCCTGCGGAAAAAGACCTGGAAAAAAGTAGAAAACTTAAAATGCACGTTTTAAAATATAAACTACTTATAGTAACATAAGTATAAATAATCAATTTATATTTTATAATACTTAAAACTGGTAACTACAATAGTATTACTAAAAAGTAAAATGAGACATGAAATAACTGCTGTAGTATACCTAGCTACTCAAAATTAGATTTGATAAGCCAGCATATAAAAAGAAAAAACAATGAAAACCAAACAAGAATAATACAATACTATTATGTATTTATTATGTACCTACTACTCGTTTCACTTAAAAGAAAATTTAATGAAAATTTTTTGAAAGTTTTAGCTTAAAATATAAAGTTACAAAGATGGATTTTTATTATTATATATAATAGTACCTATACGGCTATACCTAATACCTATTATGTTAATTATTCGTGTATTTAAATTTTTAATTAATATTTTTAATGCAAATACGCAATGTAATTATGGTAGTTAACATAATATAATAAGCAATTAGCCGTAATGTATAACTATGGAAACTCGCAGTGCCTACTTAGTAAACTTTTTTAATTACCCATCCAATATTTAAATTTTAAATTCCACGCAAATAGATAGATTTTTTTTTAAATCAATTAAATAAAAACTATTTCAAATTATTTTCCCTAAACAAAAATTGTTTTGGGAAAACACAATGACTTTTTAAATCGACAAATATCTAATATTAATTATTTGAGTGATTTTAAAATGATCATTATAGCAATATAATAAAGTCTGAATATAGTCTGTTGTAATAATAATTATTATTTATTATACTATAAATTAACAAATCAATCAAGATGTTGACATAGTTTTAAAATAATTAAAATTACATTTAAATAAATTATAATTATTTTACGGTTAATGTCCTATATGTGATTAGTACCTATATGAATCTATGTATAATGGCCGCATATTTTCTACTGTTATGGCTTTATTGCTCTGCAGACAATAAAACTGACAAATTATTAACACATCATACTACGTATATATGCGTATGAATATCAAAAGTATAAATCAATTGTTTAATAATTAAAACAATCGTTATAAATACTAATTGATTAAACATTCCATTTAATTGTTCGTTTAAAATACTTAAGTCCTGCATTGAAATTTGCAGATGCATAGTGTATGTTAAAAAAAAGTATTATAATTTACATTTATAGTGCTAAAAAACCATCATAAACATGCGATTTTATCGAAACGGTATGAAAGAAACCTAGGCCATATAATAACATTTATTTTTTAAATCACATACCCACCTATATTGACGTAGGTATACCTGCCGAAGGAGGGGAATTGAGTTAGAAATGCTTCCCCCCTCTGCCTTTATAAAAAAATATCGATCAATACAGTTCATATACCTACTTAAACATAGGTAGTGCATAATATATAGTAGTTGCAGCTTATTGGCCGAACTTTGGGACCAGAGCATACATATATTATATAGTCCATTAACCGAATGAGTCAACTTAAGCCATATATAATGTCTAACAATTAAAATATACCCACATTCTAATAAAATGTTAGAATAATAAATGTACTGACTAATATTCATTATAATTATGTATTTCAAATATACTGTGTCATTCATATATATAGAGCAAAAACACGAAACATGACAACGATAGAAATATTTTCTTCAAAATGTTATCGATTAAAACGTGAAAGTGGACGATGAAAATTGAATAAATATGCCATTATAAAAATATACATCGACCCCATTAATCAATGCGTGCGAGTCCAATAATAGACGATTTTATAGACGAATGAGTCCATGTGTTGGGAAATATCTAGATAAATTTATCTTTTATCTTATCTAAATGAATTTCAGCTTAGTTATATTTATCTTCTTCTGAATAAAATTTTATCTAATGATTATATGTATCATCATATGAGTTTTGTAATATTTTTCATACCATTAATTTAAACCTGCGTTCCAGATAGGTGCTTAAAATTATTATACTTTTCGGGACCTAAATTAACTGTAACCGGTACCTAAAAATTTTGGAACTGACACCTTTATTTTTTAAACCAGAACAACTATTTTATTTTTGGAGAACCAGTATCGGAATCGATACCCGTAAATTTAAAAGGTTCCAGTCCCTGAATTGATAACCACGAGTCCGATAAAAACGTGCACTCGTGACTCGTCAATGCTCTGATCGCCATCGGATTTCAAAATTATAAGCTGAAATTCGCGAATAACTAGAGCTAATCGTTATCCATTTTACCTATATACGGGTGATTCTTTTATCAAACAACACTCAATATTTCAAAAAGTGTAAATTTTTTTGAAAATATTTTTTTACATAGTTTTAAGCCACTTATAAAACAAAGTTTTTATTAAAAAATTATATTTTTGATTCTTATAATTTTTTAAGTTTTTTTACTTTTTTGAATGACAATATAGGGTTTTATAATTTTATATTTTTCTTAGTATTTTGATACATGAAAATTGAATTTGGGGTGAGTAGTTTATGAGTTATAAGTATTTAAAGTTTAGATGAGCGGAGTACTAAGAAAAGTATTCTGCTTTGGAACTGGATGGGGTTACCCCGCGAAATGTTTGTCAACAAAACTTTGAATATTTATAACTCATAAACTACTCACCCCAAATTCGATTTTCATGTATTGAAATACTAAGAAAAACATACTGCTTTGGAATATAAAATTAAAACCTTATGTTGTCAATCAAAAAAGTAAAAAACTTAAAAAATTATAAAGATAAAATATATTTAAAAATATAATTTTTTTAGTAAAAAAATTGTTTTATAACTTTATAAGCGACTAAAAACTATGTAAAAAAATATTTTCAAAAACATTTACACTTTTTGAAATAATGAGTGTTGTTTGATAAAAAAAAACAACTATAATAATTATAGTTTGTAATTGAGCCAATCGCCGTCGATCCTTGCTTAGCATATTATACCTATCCACCTTCCACGTATAATATGGTATTCGTCGTTTTAAACTCGTAGAAGTGCAGTTTTTGTTATTCATTATTATAATATAGACTCCTATAATAATTAGCGGTGACCTTTACATATACGAGACCTTGACTCTTATATTATAATATTATGTATTATAATAAAGACGACTTTTAACGATTTACCTACTGCAGACGTATTAGCCGTATATGCGTATATCTATATCGGTAGGTATTGCATAAATTCTTTCTGTTCGTATCGTGTCGATTTGCTGTTTATAATCAGTTAATATAGTTCAGACAACAAGTACCCACAAATTTGCTAGTATAAAATTCCTATCACCTATTCCTACGCATTTATAAACATTACCACGTATAGTGAACCACGAATTTAGTGGTTAAGGATAACTGAAAATAACAACTATTTGCTCATATATTATATGATTATATGTATTAATAGTATTATGCACTGTAGCCCCACTAGGTTATAAAGCCTAACCTAACTGGTAGGTGTAGTTACTACTTACTAGGTATATGACCGTATATGTCTACTATATGACTATATTATGTATGAGTATGAGTGTATGACTATACCAGCTATAAACTTATAATATGTCTTACAGATTACCCAATTAATGGTTAATCTTAAAATTTGAAAATTTAAACTATTATGGCCTCTAAAGCAGACGACACGGGCACACTGCAGAAATACTTTGCATCTGAAATGTCAAAATGTCAAATGGTATAGCACATATTATGATACGTTATACGTATAGTATTTACTATAGCATTTACAGCTCAAAGTTCAATATAATATTTAAATTTAATTGACAATAATAAATTGGTCACACAATGTAGTGGCAAATAAAAATAATTTTTGTCGGTCAGTTATAAAAAAAAGTTAATCAATTCGCTTGAAAATGAAAATAACTATAATAATAATAATAGCAAAAAAAAGAAAGATTTTCTGGATCTCAAAATGTTTTTTTTTCGAATTTCCTACCCCTGCTCTATACAATAAAGTAAGTTAAATATTATTAAGAAATTTATATTTATTTTATATTATCCGCAAGCAAACCGATTAACTTGTTTTCATAACTGACTAACTGGATATAAGATGTTATTATAATATTAACAATGTTGGAAGTTATTTTTTTTTTTTTATTATTTATTATTTATTTCAACAACTTCTGCAAATGTCAATCTCTTACTTTGTCTTATACTGACTTACAAGTTACAATGTATTATTATTATTGCTATAACTACTTAGGGCCCACATTTGAATGTAAACGCATCATTTTTTAGGAAGTTCCATGGGACTATTATAACTGCAGGAAATGCTTTACAAGTAGGTACAAAATTCGTTTCTTACACCAGATAATTTAAAAATTAACTTTTATTTAGAATTTTTAGCAATTTAGTTTGCTCAAGAATTGTCAAAACAGTTTTTGGGTATATTTTAAACACATTATTGTAGTTATATTTTTTTTACTTATATTTTTATGACATTTTTGTTATTTTTTTAGAGTCTATTTGGATAGTTCTTAGGCAATTTGAATCCAGCCAATCCAGGACATGATTATAACATATTATTATTATGCTTTTTTTTTCGAGAGAGAGATATTATAATAATATAAAAACCTAACCACCGTCTTTTATAATTTAAAACCTATGTAGTTGCTTTGGGGATTTTTTTTCCGATAACCGATCAAACAGATTTTTCCCAATCACTCCACTCCATATTTTGGTTTTAGGATTTTAAATTGTAAATCTGTAAATAGTAAGTAAATCTTAAATACCTGTACGATATTATTATTAATCATATTATAATATTGAAATCACACGGACGTACGAAACGGAGCTTTAAATTGCCCGCGCCATCGGCACAACATCCTTGGAAACAACTACACACGCGCACATGCTGAGACGTTTTGAAAATCGATTCAGTGATAAGTGATAACGGTGGTCGGCGTCCGCGGCGATCTGGACCCGCGGCAAAAGGCGATGCATTATGCGTATTTTGTGAATATTAATTATTATTGTAATATTATTGTTTAATACAATAAATTCGTTGTACAACCATAGACGAAAACCGTCTTACAGGATGATCACCGAAGCTGAAACTCCCGACGATGCCCCGAAAAAAGCGCTCATTTACATTTGTGGAGGTAAGTATCAAAATGTATTTTATTCGGTGTGTTTCGACAACAACTCACTTGATATTATTCTGTTGTTTTTGTACCAGCAACCATAGGTAGATATCGTGAATTTCGTTTTGGATTCGATTTTAATATTTGTTTTTTTTTTGTTCTTGTGCGCGGACGATGACAGCTTGCCAAGCTGAAAACGAAATGAAACCCAAAGACCCAATCCGTTGCAGAGAGTGTGGTTACCGAATCATGTACAAGAAACGAACAAAAAGATGTATCCTTTTGAAATTATAAATAGTTTAAGACGCCTGATTGTGCTTAGATACAGTAACATATTATGGGAAATGGGTGGGTTAAGCGAGTCAAGTCGATAAGTTCAATTACTGTACTCAAATCAATTTTGTCTGTGTAAAAATTTCATCCTTTAAATTAAATCAGTAAGCCGTTGTATATGCATATGAGTAAGACCTAAACTTTCAGTCTACATAATATAACTGCTACCTTTACTAACATTGTATCCAATAAATTAAGTAATTGGTTCCCAAACTATATTAGTGAGTTAAGCAAAACTGTACATGCAATAAGCTTTTTTTCAAATATTTGTTTATGCGAAAAAAAGTATTTATATACTTTGTATTTATTTTCAACCATATTATGGTTATTAAACATATTTTTTAACTGAACAATAATAATATTTTTTGTATTCTGCCAATACAATTATTTTTTGATAATAAACAATAGTATATACCAAAGGTAGGTATTCAAACATTTTCATTCCATGGCTCCTTCATCTCTTCACAACATTTTGGTGGCTCTCAAATTATTAAGGAAACCGAAAAATAATGTTTAGTCATTTTTAATAATATATATTATTATAAATACATTAATTGTATCAAGACAGCAAATTTAATAAAAATTATGCATCAAAATCTTAAAGTAAACGTTTTACGTTTAGAAAAAATAAATTCTCATCATCGTTATTTTGTATTCCTCTTCTGTGCCACGGCTCCCCTGACCAATACTTATGACGCCCCTTGGAGCCGCGACACACAGTTTAAATACGTCTAGTATACACTATATTGATATAACTCACTACTTTTTCAAACTATTGTGTATTTAGAGTTGATAGATTAGAAATTTGGATGCAGCTCTCAATCCAATTATTGTATCAATTTTTTCTAAAAAAATTAATTATAATTTTATTCAATAAGTTTGCTCAGAATTTTGATTTTTTCAATGTTGAGGGGGGGAGATTATTAAAAATGTATTTCTTGTGGTTTAAATTAACATCATGTTCCTATCTGATCACTTTTAATTTTTCTTTTTTTATAACCTAAGTACCTAACTGCTAAACACACGTCATATTAAGTTATTAACCCATATTAATTTGAATAATAGTGGTTATATTAACATCCCAACATTTGTTAATTTTTTCAATGTTTGAACATCCGAATATATCCACCCCACGAAAGCCTAATAAATGATTCAGATATAATAAATAAAATGTATACTATTCTTGGATTTTATTATTGTAATACATTTTAATATATTGATACATTTACTATTTAGTTTAGGATGTCAAATACTTTTGAATCTCAAGTGTTGTTCAATACACTATTATATTAATGAATAATGATTATATATTTGTATAATGTCTTATTTCAGACGGGTCTTTATGTGTTGGCAATAACAGTAACCCTCCCCAATCTTTGGTGTCCTCTCACAAAAAATATTCTTCTTAATTAGATAAATTGTCTATATTAAGTAAAAGTAAATGAATAATATTTAATTGTGTTTGCTGTTTAATATTGCCTTCCAAATGTCTTAGAGTAATTTTTTTTCTTCAACTTTGTTTTTGATTGTCCAATTATTTAGTGTCAAACAATATTATAATACAATTTACTAAGGGAGTTTGATGCAACCTAATAATATTATCTCTTTTTAGTTTAAACTGTACAACTATATTATGTGCTCAACACACAATTTAAAGGCCAATACTATTTTCTGTTTGTATTATAATTTCAGATTTTTAAACATTTTTTATTCTAAATAATACGTTAAGAATAAGTTTCATGCCTCAGATTACTTACACACAATTCATTGTATTTATTTTTGTGTAGTATACAAATAGTTTAAATTATTGTATTCATACACGCTAAAAGCTGTATTGTACATTCAAAGTTGAAAATGATTGATTTTTCTTTATACTTGTTCATATTTCTTTTATCCTGCTTTCGCTTTTTGCATACTTAATAGAATGAATAAATTATTGGTTATTGATTTCTATGTATTAGTGCTACTATAAAATATTTTCTAATTTTATTATTGATGGTTTTCCATTAAAGTATTAAGTAATTAATTATTTAATATTATAAACATTTTATACAAAATGTTGAAAAAAATATGTGTACATAATATTAAAGTCTGAAAGTTCTTTGTATAAATGGACACATTGAGTGTTTATTTTATTCCGATGTTAAGGTTTGGGAATGTATTTACATAGTAAAATGTATTAAACAAATTGCCTAGTACTTCCATCTATTGATATAAATATCTCTGTATTATATTCTACTACGGTTAATATGCAACTTAAAATAAATTGAATTTCACATATTTACTAAAACAAATCCAATTATTAATTCAGACCAATCCCTTAAATTATATTATATGTATAATATAAATATTATTCTCAATTAGATAATATTGAATTTATGTAACTCAACATTGACCATTCAGAATATAGTTATTTAATTAATAATTTAAACTTTAGATTACATTTTTCGGTTTTTTATTTTACTCGTATATGTGTAATATATATATTTATACTTTTTTTAGATTAGATTATTTGCTTTATCATTTACTTAAAAACACTAATGTAGGTTATTTATTTTTATAGTTCCGTTTTGGCTTCTTTAATATTCAAATTAATCTAATAAACTATTTGTTCAAAATGTTGAATATAATGTAGCAACATTTTCTGGTACATTGTTATGTATAAATTGTATTGTGCTTTGCTTATAATTTAATCTAAACACTTGTTAAAAGTTTCCTTAATCAAAGTTTTTCAGTGGTTGTTTTCAACGCTCGATGAACATTTTCCAACAATATCAAGTGTACAGAAACAACAATGACAAGATACAACAAACAATTTTATTTATCAAATTGTGTGTATTAATTTTGTTGTATGAAAATTATAAGTGTTAAGTTCCATAATATTATATCATGTATTGATTTTCTTAAACAGTCTCATTTTTAAATCAAATGTACCTTAAGGAATAAGTGAGTCTTGAATAAATATGTTTTGTAAAAAACTACTTTAAATTAATTACACAGACATAACAATAATGAAACATTTTTTCCAGCTATGGTAGCACTATTTTTTAAATATATAGACCTTTTTTATTTATAGTATTAAAAATAAAATACTCACATATCTTCGCCGTCGTGCAAAAACTGTCCAAGTTCAATAAATTATTTATTGCACTCAGGCAGTTTTTGCACGACGCCGACGATATTTCTATGACGTGCTTTTGTATCAGTCAATATTAGAGATTCTAGATAAAAAGGCTCTCTAGTCCATACTATTTGTATAAACATTTCTATATGACAACATCTGTAAATGGTACTATAGTTAATTACTGCTTGGATTATTTTCTTACGAAAAAGAAAATTGTATCAAATAAACTAAACCGTCCAGACTTGTATACATTTTAATATTCTTACTAGTCGTATCACTCGTATTATTTTACTGTATGCTAAATAAGCACAAAACAAGTATCACGATTGTGTGATTAAAAACACTAATTCTTTTAGTCCATATTTCAACCTCTCACTTTTTTTAGAGCATATTTTACAATTTTGAGGTCATATTACTATGCCATTTTTATGGCATATTGCATTATTTTGTAACTTAAAATTTTTATTTTATAGATTTTATAATTTTTTTAATAATTTAACAATTTTTATAAAAAAAACTACCTATTCAGTAGAAGCAAAAAAGATAAATTCAAAGTCTACCAAAAAAATTCTCGATTTTATTATTTTTTTAGTGTATCCTACCGTATGATAATTTTGTTCTGTATTATACTTAAAATTTTATATTATTTCTTTCAAAACTAAAATAAAGTTTACAAAAATAAGTGAATGAATAAAAATTGCTGTAACTTGTGTTGTATTAATTTTTAATTTTTTTTTTTTTTAACATTTTTGCATACAAATATTTGGCCATTTTTGAATTTTAATACAATAATGCATATTTCTTACTTTTTTAGTGCATATAAATAAGAGTCCTAGTGATAACCTATATGGACCATATATATATTATTTACCTAAACAATAAATTTATTTTACAAATTAAGTTGTATTACTATGATTATTGTCTTTAAAATTTACCATAGTCCATCGTAATGCGTGTAATACTAAAATATACCTAAATATATAAGGACTTAAGGCACACAGATGATGACCTAATACTATATTGTAATATTGAAAACAATTAATAAAATAATATGAATAACAGTTATAGTCTATAATAATTAGTAATTATTTATAAAATTAGATCTATTCATGATTTAGAACACAATTTATGACTACATAGTACAGGTCTATGTACCACTAACCACTAATTTTGTTTTAGATTCTGAGTGAAATGATAATGTATTGATTTTACAATGATGTGTTTTTTTTTTTGTGTCTGTCATCACCTTTTAGGTCAGTAAAAGTGCTTGGATTTTCTTCGACAGTATCTTTTCTGATATGAAAGTGAATCTAGTTGGTACTTTGGGGGGGTCAAAAAATATTTTGAGCTGTTTGCTGTCATTTTCAGTTTCCATTTTTTTTAGTTATTTTTTCTATAAATATCAATAAAATTTTATTTGTTGGTTAAAAAGCTTGAAAATGTAATAGAAGGCTCCTAAGTCCTAGTATATTGTTTCAAAGACTCCTAGTATATTGTTTCAAAGGCAGATGAAAAAAAATAAAACATTCTTAGTCACAATTATTTTTATAAGCATTTAAAGTTCAAATATTGACAAAATACTTAAAAAATGACGAAAATTAGACGAGATTTTAACTTAAAAGAAGTTTTCGAAAAATCGATTTGGTTTTAGGTAGGTATAACTCCAAAAAAAAATAACCGTTAATATTATCAATTTCTATGGCGCATACAATTTTTGAAACATTTTGACTGAGCTATTTATATTCAAAATCATTTTCGTGTTTTATTAATTTTCTTTTAATTATTGTTGATAAAAAATTATTTGGTCGGTCAAAAAACTTAAAAACGTAGGTAATACACTAATACAACATTCCTCGTAAGTTGTTGTTAGTGGAAAATAAAGAAAAAGTTGAGAGTAAATCCACATAGTATTTTTTTATGGTTGTCTATAAATAAAATTTAGACAAATATCACCAAAATAACGAAAATTGGAAAATTATTTTGAGTTAGATATTTATAAAAATGTTTCTTTTTAAATATAAGATTTGTAAATTTAATACAAGATTCCCCATTAGTTATTCTATATTTAACATGAAAAATAAAGTTTACCGGAAAGTAAAATTCTTTTTTTACAAGCTTTTGAAGTTAGACATTGGATATTCACCATTATAATGCCTATACTAGTAATAAATAAACTACCTATAGGTATTTTAATGCAATAATAATATCATACAACTATACTCAACTGTTTTCTTTGTCGAAGTATTTGATTTTTTATAGAATATAGGTACCTAAGCAAAAAAAAATGTATTGTATGATTATATTCTAATTTTACGTATGATCAATATTAAAATATAAAATATAGGTAATATATATTATAATATCAACGAAAACGAATTTTCAAAGTATTTGACAATAAGTACCTATTTGATTTTAAATACAGATTACTTTGAGGGAGTACCTACGTATTTAAAACAACTATGCTGAATTACTTTTTCCAAAAGTATTTAAAGTAGGTACGTAGGTATATTTGAATATTTTTGCTTAAGTACCTAGGTACCTACTACCTACCTACTTTACAAGTTACAACACTGCCTCCATCATCCTCGCTGGTCGATTGCGAAATGACAAATACAAATATTATATTCCCAGACCTTGCGACTGAAAAATATTACTTGCTATTATCATAGCTGTTTATACATGATAATAACAATAATTGTATTATTATAATTATCTGTACGGTTGTTATATACAATAATAGCTGTAGTGAACAAATGACCCCCAACAGGCGAGCGAGGTGAACGCATCCGGCGTTTAAATTTTACACAATTAATGTACAAACTGCAGCTGTAACTGTTAAATGTTATGTGGACCGTGGACGAATAGACGGAAACGGGTATTATAGGTACAATCATTATAATACATTCGAACTACAGATATACCATGTATGAATGTGTAGATGCAGTGGCAAAAAAAAAGCCAGAGTCCCACTTTAAAACTGCAGTACCTAGTACCTACTGAACATTTTTAGAATATTGACTATTATCGTTTTTTTCCGTAACCCTTTAATTATTGTAGTGAACCTATTCAGTACAAGGGCGCCCATTGGGTGAGAGGGTAGCAAGAGTAAACATGCCCCCTCCCCAGAAAATAATAGAGAATGCCAAAAAAATGCATGTATTATGCTTTGAATCCATATAGGTATACTTGTTTCATACTTGAGACCATAGACTTTTGCTTTTGTTCAGTCAGAATATCAGTGAACCAATCACTATAGAATCTATAGTTTCATTTTGCCCCCCCCCCTTGAAAATTACCCTACAAACGCCCATGGCAATGTAGGTACCCATTTTATACGAAGCGAGTAGCGTATAGCTAATATACCTAATGTAGCCAAATAGTCCAAAGGTGGGCAAGTCGATGAAAATGATTAACTTAAGTCAGGCTTAAGTGCGGGAAAAATTCCAGGGGGGGACTCCATATTTTAGTTTTAAGCGTTCCGTCACAGAATAATACATTCCATACACAATTGTATGGTATAATGTATTTGCGTTTATGTGACGCATATAAACAGTGATAGTGCAAGCGACTCGTTCCGCTTTTAACCCTGAATAATGTTCACATTTGTATTTTATTTCGTGTACAATTTAAATAATACCTACATAATACTAAATTTACCGGCGTCAGAGGTTTTTGACTGAGTGCCCTCCCCCTCACTTTAACCCCTGCAGGTCAATAGAATACAAGAATCGATAAGTTAGGTAAGTATAATAGTTGTTTCGAATCATTGGCAACTCTCATTAACGGTCATTTATCATTAGCTTTGCGCTGTTGATATTAGGTTTTTATATATTTGTAAAGCTCATTTTAAGTAAAAAGCTAAATACTTTAGGCACCTACCTACAAAACAATATTATTCACATACAGAATACCACAAACGAAAAAACGTCGAAAACTAACCAATTTATACAGGTTTACGGTTTTAGGTAGGTACCTAGGTGTTGGGCAGTTTTCACTTTTCAGTGCGTATTTTAACAGTTTAATTTTCGTTTAAAAAAAATAATAAATAAATAAAAGAGTTTAAAATTAGAATAGCAGCGGTGCATATACCTATTAAATTGTGTAGATACTAGATAGGTTAGGTTAGGAGAAAAGTCGTGACGTGGCAGTGCGCGATCTCCCCACTCTCCTCCTGATGAGTGGAATTCAAATTTAAATATGTATTCAGAAAATAGAATAATTTTTTGTCTTATCTATATTTATCTCAGACAAATAAAATTCTACTCTTCCCCTCTCATCCCAACACACAACTTTCCTTCGCCAATACGCATTACCCGTGTAAAATGCATTGATGTAAGTATGCAGTTGCATAGTTGCATCATTATCAGACACATATTATACAACACCACGATTTTTGTTTTGTTTCTATTTTTAAAAACAATTTGTATCGTCCATCCGCCGTGTTGGGAAAAGTCGAGTTTATGTAATTTTTTCTTGTTCTGCAGTGTGGACCAATAAACCGTTTATTATAAACAAAACAAAAATTTGAAAAAAAGCCCAATTTAAACATTTGTTACAAATTTACAACGTTCTGAAATATAAATAACCCATAAAATAACCCTAAATTATGTGTCCTATACACATAAATTCATGATTTAAAAACCAACATAATATAGTCAATTTTTTGTCATATTAAATTTGTATCGCAATGTCCAACACAAGTATTGTATAAAGAAAAAAGAAATAGTCAATTTTTTAAATACGTCAGTAGTTATTATACCTAATGCATCTAATCGATATGGTTGACAGGCCGTCCGAATTGTTCTTATTGTAGGAACCTGTAAAAATGATTTACCGTTGAATCCAAACAAAAATTGAAAATTCCCAAAATATTTCAAGTTTCGTTGTATTTGAAAATCATTATTTGTGGTCTTGTGGGCATACTTAAAAACTGTACTGCAATACGCAGACATAAAAATATTTGGATTAATTTTAAGCTATTGCCTATTTATACCAATACGAACCAATTCTCACTAGTCTACGGTAAGGTATACTGTATAGTATCGACTCAAAAGTTAATATATTATACAATATGACAGATATTGATTATTTATAATATAATAATTGAATATTTAATTCAAATTTAACACATCTAATATCGATTACATTTAACAATTTTTTTTTAATTTTACAAAATGTTATACGGAGTTATTTCTTAGCGGTAACATAAATACATAATAATATATTATATAGGTACGACCAGTCTTGTGAAGAATACTTTTATTTTGTATTTGGAATACATATTCGAATAAATTAGAACTAAGGTATTTCTATACGTATTCGAATAGTTCTTAAAAAATATTTATCAGAATACATATTCCAATACTTTAAAAAGTATTCGAATACTATTAGAACACTTTTTTACAACTAATTTTTGAATGGTTGGTTATTAACATTTATTAATTAAAATTAAAAATACATCGTAATCATAAGCTATTTATAAATTTTGACCACATATTACGATAAGGCAGATGCGTGCCATACGGAATACAACACATTGGTGTTAAGAAAAATAATCATATCATGGGCTAATATTATATTTCGTTCAAAGAATAAAATTAATGTTCATGATGTTCAAGATAAAACTATTTTTCTGGATCGGAAAAAAGTATTTTTTTAATGAATAAAATATACAAATAAAAGTATTCAGAATACGTATTTGAATACTTTAAAAGACTGGGTACGCATATACGGCGAAAATGTGCATGCGACGAAACCATCACAATAAATTATTATTAGTTGTTCAATCTGCGAGCTGTGGTATGCGCGGTACGAATCATGTATAGGTACAAAACGCGACTTTCGGCGTGTTAAGTATATTTAGCCATTAGACATAGATAATAATATACCTACCCATTACAGGTGGCAGACGGCTGTGTATAGCACATCTGATCACCACGTACTAATTTCAAAACGCTGCTTAAAAATTTGTTTCGGATACGACACCGACTAGCCAAATAATAATAATTTTAACGAATCGTCGGCCGCCCGCGTCCACTCCGTTTCAACAGGTGGCGGTCGAACGCTATCCATGCTGCTATCAGTTTTCATGCTAGGTTTTTTTTTACTCGTACACATTTTTTCTACGGCCTTAAGGTCACAGATGTATCACAATCATGCGCGACAGACCTTCCTCCTTGGCACGCACTGACTGACCACGACCGCCTCCTAAGTCTAAACAGACAAAAACTTCGGTAGTCGTGTCACATGTCGTAATATTATGTCGATTCCCAACTATCGTCTAGGTTTTCATCGCCATGCTAGTATATTATCGTATAATATAGCGGCCCATCAAGACTTTTCACAGCAAGATTGAAATATGTAGTCATTATTATAAGTTTCCAAAAAAAAAAACGAAAACAAATAAATAAACAAACACAATAATTAACAACAATTTATGTTTTATTACTATATAATTGAAATTCCTAGGAAATTTTAGGTATAGAAAATTAGATAGGTTTAATTTACTCCCTTAGAATTTCCTTCAAGTCTAAGTAATAATATATTACAGACTTAAATTTGTTTTGTTTAAAAACGACTAAAAACAATTGAAAAAAAAAATCGATTTTACTGCATTAAGTGTCTACTAAATAACCAAAAAAAAAAAAAAAAATATATATATATATATTAAAATAAAATAAAAATAAAACAAATGTTAACCACATAATTTATACACAACTATAATAAAATAAATAGTGGATTTTTTTAAATTTTTTTTTTTTTTGAACAGTTATAATAATAATAGTTACGAATAATTTGATAATGATGAGAAACAATAAACACGCGATTGATATGAATGGAAAATAAACAAATGGGTTATTTGACAGGAGGTAATAATAACTATTTGAACTAACGAACAATAATTTAATGGCAGATTTTTTATAAGTGTTTATATATATATATACATATATAAAGGTATGTATGTATGAATATATAATATCTAATTGTAAGTAATAATAATATACTTCCATTGGATTATACGATTAAATTACAAATACATTGGAATGTTTTAACACGTCTTAGATGCACGCTCACTTAAAATAATTATTAAAAACACTAATAGTTGTTTTAAACTTTTTTTTTGTAAATTTATATACTTTCAATTAATTTCTATTATAAAAATTTAAAATAACCAGTAACCATGTAAGCCTGCTTTTATTTTACAATAAATGTAAAAAAAAAGAATGAAATAAAAAAAAACAAACAATAATACTTTAACTATGAATTTTCATCAAATTGTACAGCTACAATATTTGTGCTGAACTGCAGTAATATTAATTTAAATAATTTAATATATTATTATTATTATTATTATTATTATTATTAGTGTACGTTACTCGATAAGATGGAGAACAATCGAACACTTGTCTAAGTTTAGATTGCATCACATCGCATAGAGTACTTAATGTTTGAGGGTGGTCCCCTCTTAGTTAAGTAACATTTAAAAGTGAGAGGGGGGAACAATATTTAATAATACAACTCATTGAAACATAAAAAAAAAAGTTAATAATAATAATAATAAAACACAAAATATAACGTTTGATACATGAGATGGCCATCATTTTATTTTATTTAAATATACGTATTTAAAATAGTTTTAAGATTATTACTTATTTTGCTACGTGAATGGAAAAATGGTTTAGAAAGCTGGGGTAAGGAAGAATACACGTAACTATTTGGGTGAGTGGCGTAAGGGCACAAAAAATTTGATTTCCTTTCAACTAAAATGTTTATAATAATATGGTAGTATATTGTTTGTATTGACGACAACAATTGGGCATCGTTTGGGTGTTCACGGTTTGTTTGTTTTTTTTTGTTACAAAAAAAAAAATTTGTTTTGTTTTATATTTATTCAGAGGGAAAATTGTTTATTTTGTGTATAGGTAAATTGCAACAATCAGTCCGTACAATCCCAATACTTCTGCGAAAATTAGGATCAAGATCATTCCTACGAATAATCTGGGCTGTTGGGCCGTGCCTCTAACACCAGCATCGCCAACAATACCAATTGCGAAACCGGCAGCCAAACCACTGAAGCCTACGGAAAGACCAGCACCAAGATGAATGAATCCCCTATAAAAAAAAAACGAAACGGAATGTTAGTAATCCTAGTATTTTGCGTCGAGTTATACATTAATCCTACATCATTTTTCTGATTTTATTTAAACATTTTTTATCAACTCACTTGAACAAGGAGTATTTAGATGGCTCTTCCAGAGCTCCTGCTATTAGGACAGCTACTACGAGACCATATATAGCAATAATACCAGCCATGACAACGGGAATGATCGATTTCATAATAAGTTCTGGCCTCATTACTGACATGGCAGCAATACCGGTTCCAGATTTTGCGGTACCATAAGCAGCGCCAAGAGCTAAAAAAATAAAATAAAAATGTTTAAGGTATGCAATTAATTTGGATGTAATAATAGAAATATAGAAAAGTTCTTTGTGTGTTTAAACAGTATCACTTTTAAATACAAATTACCAACAGTTTATGTTTACAACAAAGTTTATGTTTAGATGATTCGTCTTTCAATGTTAGAATTGAAAACTTACACAAAATGAAAAGGAATTCATCAGCGACAGTTATAAATAGGCATCTATAGTGTAAAAAAGTTGGCGTTTCAACTTCCAATAGTTTACTCTTAACAACGATTACCTAGGTACATATTATTGTGTATTACCCATATGAAATTATAACACGTGGTCTCATACCCGTATGCTCAACGATATTAAAAATAACATATTCCCGCATGTATAAAAGTCTTTTCATTAGGTATTATCAACTACGACGCTCTTCGTAATTTAACTTTGCTTATGAGTACCTATTTAGATTATGAGCTACACTCCTACATTTTGTATGAGCCTTTGTTTAAATGTTCATTAAATAAGACACTTGAAAGTCGTTAGGACAATTGATTAACAGTTAAATTAATTAGGTTAAATTGCAGCCTGTTGTTGCTGTAGTTGTATGTTTAATTCCTTAATGTTTGATCACATTAATTATATCATTGCACCTAATTACCTACACCATCAGTACCTAATTGATGAAAAATATAACATTAAGTGTATACTGTGATGTATAAGAGATGTATCTACAAAGTTGAGTCTTTACCAACAGCGGGAAGAATCTCTACAAAAGCGTGCATTGGATTTTGAACAGAAATTCAAGTGATTTTACGACTGTAGTGGTTACATGCATAATTAGGTATAGTCATGTGTTAAGTGGAATGAGGTTAAGTTATTTTAATGTACATTTTTCATTGAAATGTGTTGACAATTTAAACATAGCTTAACCTACTATTTGGTGGATATAAAAATACATAAAATGATCGAAATTCTGTAAAAAAATTATTATATAAAAAGGGTGTGGTTTGTCAAAATTGCAGAAAATTTCATCACATTGTAATATACAGGTATGATAGGGAAAACTTATGTAATAGGTATATCCAACACACACACATGAAATAATAATTAAAGACTTTGGACCAATACACACTGTACTCGTCACGATGAGTGTTGTGATCGACGTACAGATAACGTCTAATCTACGGTAAAAGCAACGTGTGTCATCGAGTCTAAGAGTAATGGTAAATGTTAAAATGTCATTATTATGTCTATAATTTAAAGGAAAATCGAAATTCGCATAAAGGGTAAAATGTAGGGTACCTAACCCCAAATGGGAGAGATAGATAAGGTTTGTTGAGATCGAAATTCAATTAAATGACCTTCACGCGCCGCGCCCATGATTCGAGGACTATTGCGACCGGGAATGTGGGCCGGAAAATTCGGGGCAGAACCCGAGGGGGCTTTTTCCGGACAGACATTTTACTGGGACAGGAACGATAACCAAAGAGCACTCTGGACGAGTGTTCGAAAAACTCGACCGGGGCACGCCCATGCTTCGTATGTGGGACACGCGACGCGAACAGGTTGCGGCGGCGGCGGCCTCGAGACGAAATGACGGATTTTATTTCGACCTTTACACGTCCCCCGTCGAGACCCACCGGCGAACCCGAATCGTCGACCGCGGGGAGGTTCAGAAAACCGTCCGGAAAAAATATAACCCCCCTCCCCGCACTGGTAGAGTGGTTTTGACCGAGTTTTTTTTCGTTTTCGATAGTCGGTCTGTACGTCAGGTCAAAATTGGCGTCACCGCCGGGGGGGTGCTGGGGCCACGGGGTTTTCTCGCGAAATCGATCGTTCGTCGAATGCAAAGTGGGTATACACGACAAGCACTCGAGCGCCACGAGAATAGGAAAGCCTGGCACGATCGTCAGGCCACGCCTAAAAAACATCCACTCGTGTGAGTCTTGAAAACGCGTGCGCGCGTAACGCGGCAGGACATTTTGTGGGTCGACCCGCCCGACACTCGTGTGGGCCCAACGGCCGCCACCGACGTAGATCCCTCGTGAGAGGATCCTTAGATCCCGCGCGTATCGACCGTCAGCGTCGGCGGCGGCGGGTGGGTGTGGCGGCCGTGAGAGTTTTTCGGGCCGCGTTTTTTCGGAGAAAACGCGTGAGGCGCAGGCCGCGCGACATCGATCGAACTCCGCGGCACGGTCCGCCATAAACGTCAGCCTGGGGTGGTGCCGTCCCGAAGACGGCGTGTGTCTGTTCGTCATCGATAATGACAACAACAACGCAATAATATAAGAATAATTGTTGTCGTCGTCGTTATGCTTACCGCTGAATATGATGGCCGATGCCGCGCCCATGACGCCGAAGAACGGCCCGTAAATCGGATTTGTCTCCGCCAAGGTGCTCATGATTGTGCCGGGTACGTAGGACGACGAAAATCCAAACAGCGACTTGCGACGGCGGTCGGGCGCTAAAGGCTGTCGGTCGGTTGACGCTGAGACGTGTACGGCGCGGCCGACTAGGTTCGGACTCGCAGGCGCGTGGAAAATAGATAAATCCAACCAGGCGAGATCGGCGCGCGCGAGTTTGCGTGTGTGCTGCGAGTGAGCGAGTGAGTGTGTAGTGTATGTGTGTGTGTGAGTGAGTACGGGTGCGAACTGCGAGTGCGGACTGCGGAGTGAGCGAGCGACGGCGACTGCGACGTGAGACGCGTTCCGCGGATGACGATAAAAAAAAATTGACAGACTGAACACACGGCGGCCGGTTACGAAACCAGTAACTACAACTGACGATGGGCAAGCGACGATCGGGCGGCGGACGGGAGTAGGAAATGGTATGGAAAAAAAACGACGAAAACCAACCGTGACGAACGTAAAACGCGATCGGTGAGTCGGTGCGAGAGTGGTGGTGTCGGCGGCGGCGGCGGTACCAAGTGGCGCGGCGGTGCGACGGCGGCGGTTGCGAACACGGCCGTCTGCGGCCTGCAAAACGCTGCTCGGCATCGACCAAAATGGCCGGCGGCGGCGGCTCTCTTCGTCGACGGCCTCCAAAGAAAGCGCGCCAAATTCAAAACCTTCCACACCCAAAAGCAGACGCCGAGCCGATTTTTTAAAATGCTCGGTTTACGAATATTTTGATTTTTTTTTTTGGTTTTTCCGACTAACCGACGTGTGCGCGCACGTCGACCTCTTTCGGGCCCGCAGAAAAATATATGCCCGCTAATCTATGCGTATGGTTTTGCGTCAGTACAATAATTAAATAATTGCAGGCGTGTTATAAAGGTTTTCGGATAGAGTATATCGGTGTCCGTAACTCTTACAGTTCGATCTCCGATTTCTTGTCGGAATTCAATATTATATTTTCTATGTTCTTGTTGTTATACGTCGTCAGTAAATCGATAACGTAAATGAGTCATTCAAAAATACATTTTATTGGGATAATATAATATTCCCGAAACGATTGTAAAGATTAGGACATTTTAGATTGTGCGTCGCAAAACGACGTAATATCATGACGAGACCACGAAAAACTATTTAAATATTTCACGATTTTTCGGTAAACGTATGACGTGTATATAAAAATATAATGCACTCGTCTCTATAAATGATAATATCTAGAATAAAATATGTAATGTGGAATCAACTCGTTGCAGCTGTTACTCGGAATTGTTTATCTCATTATAATTTATGCATGTTTGCGGTGGGTCAATGATCATGAATATTTTTTTAAATTTTCTTTTTAATCTTGACGACTAATATATGTGTCATAATATTTTTTATAGGTACACCATAACTTTATACACGTCGAAGATATATACGAAAACATGCTATAGTGTTGATTTTCAGTAGCCGACAGCCGCGTGTCTTGACTTTTGGTGGCTTCTATATAATATTATATACCTAGTGGTAGATACACTGCAGCACGACGTGGTTTATAGGTGCCTATACCGAATTATATAACTAATAAAATATTAAAATATTAATTAATATAGTATTTAACAACCGCGACTTAACGAACGACGACCGCTATATTGAGATAGTCGTTCTCGCTCACACTTGTTACGTTATTATATTTTATAATAATGTCAATCGTGGATTAGTGATTACCTACTACTACACACACACACACACAGTAGGTACGTCTTTAAATTTCGAGTAGGTCGGTGGAGGGCGAAGGCTATAATATGTATATAGGTATATGCAAACAAATAAGTCAATAATAATTTAGTGTATATTTTTTATCTTTACGATAATATTATAATAATACAGCCTATGAGCGAACTCTTCATTATTCCATATTATGTTCTTTAGATAACGGATCATCGTATATAACTAGGTACATACAACTCGTATAATACTTAGCAGCAATGCAAATAATATGTACCTACAATGTACATGTTCTAATTCTCAGAATTATTAATCTATTTAGGATTTATTTCGATTTGTTTCAGTGAATACATTATACATTATATACAGCCATTTATACACATACGACATACAGGTATATATTGCGGTATAATATATATATTTATATATATAAAACTGAAATCAAGCAAAAGAGGAAATATTTGTTACGGTTTGGCTTCGAAACTTCTTATCCAATTGTCATGCAGTTTTTTTTAAATGAAAGAGGATATCACGGAGCAGGTTTTAGGCATAAATAAAGTCCGATAATGTTAGTCAATAATTAGTTATCTATACATATAAAATCCAAATACCACTGACTCACTGATCGCTGTATCTCAAAAACTACTCAACGTACGGACTTGAAATTTGGAATAGATTTTAGAATTTTAGATTTTAGAATTTCTTCTCATATTTTCACCGTGTAATAAGAAAGGATTTGCCAAAATTCGCATTATAAATAGGTGCTCAAACAGGGACGACATTGGGATTCACGATGGAAATTGGAAATTTTATTTTTATTTATTAATAGTTGCCATTGGTTACAGTCTACAGTAGAAATTAGCATTTATTTATTGGTTTCCATTGGTTATTCTGGCAGATCAGGTACAAGCTTGCATCAAATCGAATTATTGAACATTGCCTACCAGAGTGGCTGAGTTGCACTTACCGCAGCAAGTTACACCCAAAAGGAGTTTAACAATCATAATTTTTTTTAAGAGTTGAGATTTTTTACGAGCAACCAAATTTGTTATATTAATCCACCATATTATATCAAAATAAACTTGGTATAACTTTGATACTTTAAAGTTAAATCATACACTTCCGTACAAACAGCAAGGGGTCCGCGATCTACAGCAGGTAGATTGCCTACCTGATAATGTGCTGCTGCGATTTTTATTCCGGGCAACGGAAAAGATAAGATAAATTTTGAACACCATACACCCAATATTGAATAACGAATTGAACAAAGTTTGAGTCATATTAAGTTGATATATTTAACGGGCGACGAAGTGCACGGGATCATCTAGTATCATATATATTTGTCGTCTGCGTGTAGCCGTGTAGGTAAATATATGAACGATTTATAAATCACTCATGTCATACATGATACATATAATAATTGTAGTACCTACGTAAATAATTGACAAAAATCAATCGATATATCAATCCTCCTCTATGGCTACAATTTATATGCCTGGCGACAGTTGAAGTAGGTATAACTAGGTACCACTAATAATTAATAATAATATAATATTATTGTGTAAATACGCTTGTGAATGTGTGATGAAGTACAGTGTAGGAATACACATTCTTTTTGAGAACTAAAAAGTAAAAACCATTCTAGTTTTATCTGGCTAAATATAACATTGCAGGTATTTCGAGTGAACATTTATTTCAATAATTTACGTTTACACGCTGCAGTATGATAAGCTTTATGTACCGTTTCCTCTTCTAAATAACCGACACCTTAAAGTGTAAGTCTTAAACGTCATATTATCATACAATATTATCATACCCCGTTTATAATACCTAGATATAATATTATGACACATGTGATTCAGTGATTGTAATAATCAATAGGTACCAAGTAAAAATGAATAATATTATAATATTAATTATTTGTCGATCAGTGAAGAATGACGAACACTTTAAGTGTTATATTATAATAAAGCTTTTGGTGTTGTTTGATACGACGTATATGACGTATTATCGTATTCCCTACTTATTATGACTATAGTATATTGCTAACCTATTGTTATCGCAGTATCGATAAGATATTCGTATGGAGCACTTTCATAGTTTCATTGAACATAAAGCTATGGATAAGCATCACACTATTAATGCAATATGCGTTTTAAAAAAAATACCAAAGATATATTCACTATAACATAATACTCAAAGCCAGATGAGGGGGGTAGGCCATTAAGGGGTAGGTTCGACTCTCTTCAATTTTTAGATTCTGAGCGGAGCGATGAATGTATTGGTTTTACAATGATGTATGTTTTTTTTATATTTTTATTTATATTTTTATTTATATTTTTGTGTCTGTCATCACGTTTTAGGACAGTAAAAATGCTTGGATTTTCTTCATCAGTAGCTTTTCTGGTAGGAAAGTGAATCTAGTTGGTACTTTGGGGGGTCAAAAGTATAAATTTCCCAGTAGTTTTCACAAGCGCCGGGAAAAACAACATAAAAATTAAGGAAAAACGGGAATTTTTACGCAAAATTGGTTTTCCAAAAAATCGATTTTGGTTATTGGTGTAACTCTAAAACAAATGAACGTATATACATGAAATTTTCACTGGTTGTTTATATTTGCGTTTTCTATACACGATAACATTTTCAAAATATTTTGATTTATTTTGAACTGTTTAGGGACATTTTAATTTTCCATTTTTTTTTAGTTTTTTTTCTAAAAATATCAATAAAATTTTATTTATTGGTTGCGAAAGCTTGAAAATTTAATAGAAGGCTCCTAATATGTTGTTTCAAAGGCAGATGAAAAATATTAAAAATCCTTAGTCACAATTTTTTTTTATAAGCATTTAAAGTTCAAAAATTGACAAAATATGGAAAAATCACGAAAATTAGCAAATTATTTTGAGTTAAGAATTCGTAAAAATTTTTCTTTTTAAATCTAAGATTTGAAAATGAAACACAAGATTCCTTATAAGATTATCTACCTTTATCAATAAAAAAATCTCTACCGGACAGTCAAATTAAATTTTTATGAGCGTTTGAAATTCAAATTTTTACAACATTGGATTTTCACTCGATTTCTCATGTAGCGATTTCCTTATTTTGTTGTAATTCAAAAACGAATAACTGTAGATACATGAAAATTTCACTGAATGTTTATATTAGCATTTCCTATACACCATACAATTTTGAAAATATTTTGACTCTTTTTGAGCTGTTTACGGACATTTTCAGTTTTCAATTTTTTTAGTTTTTTTTTTATAATTGTCAATAAAATTTTATTTGGTGGGCCAAAAAGTGTA